AAGCGGGGGTGCCATCCCCTCTGCAGAGGATCAAAATTGTGATGGCATGTCTTCGGATCATCCTCAAGGATGTTTCCCAGACCGTCGTCAATAGCCCATTGTGCAGCTCTAGTGCGACGTAAATGAATTACTACAACAACTTCATAAATAAATAAAAACATCTTTAATAAAACGGTTCTGGGGTCGTTTCACCGAACATACCACCCGCGGTGTTAACCCCATCTCATTTGAAAGGAGCAACTGGGGCACGTATCCTCAAAACGAAAAGAACTAAAGGGGTTATCTTTGGCATGATAATATGTAGTCAAAACTCTCGGCAATATTATTATTGAAAAATCATACCTTTCCTCTTTCATAAGGATTGGCTTTAATATATCGCACATAGTTCATTTATGTCATAATGTATTATTGTCGATCGTCGTTCGATTTCTCAGTAAGGACATTTTATTTTATGCTCTTAAAGAGAAGAAGGTGGGTTTTTTTATTTTTGAAAAATAAATTTTTAATTTAATCAGGAGAATTTAAGACATTTCCTACTGGAGATGTTCCCAACATTGGAAATTCGAATGCGTTGGAAACGTGTGACATTAGAAAATCGTGTTTTTAATACAGGTTTCGTCAAGGATGAATACAGCGGTAGAACATAAATTCACGGAAAAATTGAGACATAGAGTATTCCCAGAAGCTAAAAGTCCAGTAAATCTTTATTTTATATCTTAAAATGAAAATGAATCTAAAGTCAGGAGCAGAAAATTTTTTAGGGATGTATAGAAAAAGCATTAAATTAAAAACACATAAAAATTTCTTTGTAATTCTGAGTAATTTTCAAACATAATTTCAATGCTATTATTTTTTAGTGCTAAGCCAACTATTTAAGATAGCTTAATTCCGTTGAAGTTATTTTTATATTTTGCTCTTTTTCTTACAGAAATAATTTCGCTTTTTCTCGTCTTCTTCTTTTATTAAAAATTAAATTAACATAAAAATAATATAATTCTTTACTTAATTTAATAATGATGGGAACATAGAATTGTAAAGTAAGTATTACGTCTTTAGCCAAAATAAGCCAAAAGCATGGAACCGGTCTTCTCCCTAGATGGCGTATTCGAGTGTTGTGATCGCCTATCGCCAATAGTTGCATAACGTTTCAAGTATGATGATTATTTTAAGGGCTATTCTTACTGGTCAGGATTACGAATTCATTAATGGCCATTCTTACGAATAAAGTGGCACATATTTTCAATCAATTTCGTGGGATAATGCTGTTGTTCTTCATTTACGTCACACTAGAGCTGCACAATGGGCTATTGGCGACGGTCTGGGAAACGCCACTGCCATCACAATTTTGATCCTCTGTAGAGGGGATGGCACCCCCGCTTCGGTAGCCCGACGACCTGCACGCGAAGTCGAGTACTTTACGGTAGAACAGTTTAACGAGGAGCAATACCACACACCCTCGGTCCCTACGCAGATAGATCCAAGTGGTCACCCACCCGCACACAGACCGTAGTCAGTGATGCTTGACTTCGGAGATCTGCTGCTAGCCGTGTTTTTACGATCAGTCTGCTGCGGGACTCTAAGGGATAATGAGAACATGATTAGTGAAATATTTTCATGCGCAAATAACTCACCAATCAAGTTCATCGTGTCATTCGAAGGTGATCAGACGTGCATGTATCGCATACTGTGAGAATGACTCTTACATTTTCTAACTCAAATAAATGGCATAAATTAAGAGTCCTAAAATGAATTGCCGCACGAATATAAAGAACTTAAAGCTACTAGATTAAGTAGACGAGCGAAAAAAATTTAATTGAATCCAATTCTGCTATCTCAAAAAAAGTATGAGGATCACCTCACGCAAATGCGAATTTCTTGGATCCTTTTCTCTGATATTCAATGCGTAATCTCATTGGTTGCATATCTCAATCTTTGGTTTCACCTTGCACCAATCGTTCCATAAAAAACTGGTTACACCAGTGACTAGTTCACTTCAGCTACACCAGTGTAACCGGTGTGAATATTGGAATGGGACCATAAACTACGTTTTGATTTTTTAGCTGATAGTAATTTTTCTTTCACTTTCGAGTTGGCAGTGGTATGTTAACGGTCGCACCTGGATACCTGTCAGTTTAGTTTAGCTGTTTAGATTATCCAACTCCAACAAATAGCTTTTTTTATAATTAAATATGGGTCTAAAAAGACGGACCGGAACCAAAAATCCACCTATATTTAGTAGTGAATTTTTAATTCAAAATCATGCAGATATTGTCTCTTGTTTTGCTATGTTTTTTGTGTTGGGATTGCTATTTCAGGTAAAGTCTAGCGGTTTACGTGGACAAAATTTTGACCTAAATAATTTATGTCGCGTACGCTTGTACTTAATTTTAGTAAATATTATTAGTTTTTTAATTTGTATTACTGAGTCATCGAATTATAAAATTGTGAAAACTTCATTAATATTTACGATCAGAAATACGTGGCATTTATAACATATTGTGTAACACTGTACCGGTATTTTAAATTTTATAGAAATTGAAGTAAATGTAGAAACAATTGTCTCATTCTAATTGCATTTTATTTTTTGATGTCTTTAAAGCTCAAAGTTAGCGAGAATATTTTTTCTTGCTGCTTTTTATTTTTTAAGATCAACGAAAATGCTTTTCAGGTTTTACTCAAGATAACAATTATAAGTCAGAGGTGCAGTAACTTTTAATTTATTTTTATCTATATTTATTCGTTTTAATGATGGAAAATTTTACTCTTGATATTTGTGTTAGTGTATATTTGTGCCTATTTTAAGTGTAGTAAACTGCTTGGTAAAAGAAATTACTTTAATTTTAATGTACTATGATCTGTTTATTTCAACTTCTTAAGTATAAGTAATGTTTAAAATATATTCATTGTTATCAAATAGATACCAGAATGTTTTAATGAAAAATGCATATCGGAAAAAATTGTGTTCATAAATTACGTTTACTACCTAAGTCCAAAGTTGTTTGCATAAATTATAGTCCTTATTTTGTTAATGCATGTTAATCTGGGGTTATGTCACACCAACTACAGTCACCAAGGTACCAAATAGATTTTTAAAAAAAGGTAAAGGTTTGGAGAGATTTCTGTAACGTGATCAGTGGCAGAATAATGGCCAAGTCTTAGCAACTTTTGAGCAGTGGCCCATGAGAAACTATGAAAAAAAAAATCACGGAAAAGAACTAACTCAAAAGGTAAAACTCAGAAGCACCCACAAGCAAACATCTACATATTTAAAAAAAAAAAAGAAAAACGCAAGTGTAAAATCTATTTGTCATCTATGGCAATTGTAGTTGGCACAACAGATCACGATACAGAAATATCCCTCGGAGTGGCTACAAGCTACACCCTTTGAGTAAGTCCCCTTCTGCATTTTTTTATTTTTATTTATTTCTCGTGGGCCACTGCCTGAAAGTAGCTAAAACTTGCTGATTATTGTGTTGCAGATCACGATGTGGAAATTTTCCCTCTTTTGGAGAAAATTTGATCATTGCCAAGTCATGATATTATTTTTTAGTAAAAATTCGAATTTATCAATTTAATTTTTCTTTAATGTTATTTATTCTTATTTATTTGTCTTGTAACTCTGGAAAATATTTTGCATTTGTACCAAATTTACCTACTTATTATTTTCTTTTTTTTGCAGACAAGTGCTCCAATTGCATCCATTTTTGTTGTTATGCACCATAATGTAACTGAAGGTAAGTTTTATATCTTTCTTAAATGTTCTTGTATTAGTAAAATTGATGTAACAAAAACAATTATTTGCTTTTAGTAATATTGATTTTTAAGTGTTATATTAGATAATCAGTTTACTTGAATTGAGTTGTCCAGTTGATAAACTCATTCTACTCAAATTATATTATTCTATTCAGGTGAATAAAAATAACTGCGGTTAAAGTTAATTTTTCTACTGACTACTTAAAATTAGTTTTCAGCTTAAGTTGTTGCAATGCCAAAGATTAAACCTTTGATGAAAATTTTTTTGGAAATAAAATTGTAATTTAAAGTATGAAAAAAAATAAATGTCATTATACCATAAAAACAATTATTTGCTTTTGGTAACATTAATTTTTTAGTGTTATATTAGATAATCAGTTTATTTGAATTGAGTTGTCCAGTTGATAAACTCAATCTATTCAAATTAGATAACAACTTCAATTCTAACAACTTCATATTTTGAAAAATAAAAATTGGTAGCAATAAAAGTATATAGTTAGCTTTTAGTTTATTTGAACATATTTTTTCTACGATTTAAAGTTTAAATTTATATATTTGAAAGAGAATTTGCTATGAAGAGTTAAAAATATTTAGCTTGTTTTAGCTTAGCGTACTTTGTTTTACTCTAAATATTTTAGGGTTCAAGTTATCAGCCTGTTTTGATTTGGTGGAGAAAAAAAATATGTGTAGCTTGTACATATGAGTTTTGCAACTGTGTGACTTAATTTGATATTCAAAACTTTACTATGGTTGTTTTTTTTTTTAATTGCTTCAATTTTGCCTATACTGTTATCACTCAGATTTCAAATTATTTTACTTATTTAAGTTTCGTTGCAAGCTGGGAAATTTAGAAATGATATACAAATAAAAATGTTTATAAGAGATTATTATTAGAATGAGAAGTTAAGTTTCGAATAAAAAATTTTAAGAACTTGTAATAACTTGGTACATAATTTTCAATAATTTATGACTGTTGAATCTCTTTAATTTCTTCACTCTCTTGTGAATGATTTTATAATAGTGTAAGATACCTAATAATTTCAAATTTTTACTATTAATATTAAAATTTTATTATTAACAATTGCATACAAGCCAATATTCTACTTTGCAAAATTTTATTGCGGGCTCCGGGTGATATTAAAGCATTTTAAAGCCTTTTAAATTGCTTTGATAGTATATTATGTGATATTTATAAATTTTAAAAACATTCTTGTTTTGATTCTAATTGAACACTTTATTTAACATGTATTTTTAATACTTCTAAAGTTACAATGTGAATGGAATTTAATTTCAGTTTATAAATTATGTATAAGAAATTGATCAGAGTTTTATACATTTCATTCCAAGAAATTTTTTTTTTTTCTATTCTGTCTGTCAAAGTATGTTTATATCAATGTTTTTAGTTTTTAGAAGTCACTTAACCTACTTACTTTGTTGATATTATATATTACTCTCTTTGACAAAGAGTAACTTCGTTATTTTTGTACCTTTTAGCTTTGGAACCTAGTGACGTTGTTCATTATACATATGGCCGTTTAGATACATGCGTTGTTACATTCTACTTTTTGATAGCTATTGTAATGCATGCAATTCTGCAGGAGTATGCTCTAGATGTAAGTAATTCATAATGACAAATGAGACAATGAAGAAATGAAAAAAATTAGAAAATATGACAGCCAAAGCTGTGTCTTCTGGGGGTACCAGCCTCGGATGTCATAAGACGTCAGCTTTGGTTGTCATATTTTCCAATTTTTTTTATTGTCTCATTTGTTTAATTCCTTTTTTACTCACTGCTAAGCGTGTTTTTTCATAGGATGTATTATTATTATTTTGAATTGCTTTAATATTTTGAATTCTTTACTTAATATGTAATTTTCAAAAGTGGTTTTAGCTGCATTTTTGCCCTTTTTCTGTTTTGAAATATTTTAAATTTGTTTAAATGAATTTGAATTTTAAAAGTTTTTTAGTGTTTTTTAATGTTTTTTTCTATTAACGTCATAGGGGTTTTGTTCTTGGTCTAGGTTTTGAGTTATTTTTGTTTAGTGATTTTTAGCCTTTTAGGTTAAATTTAATTCTATGCAAAGTACAATTAATGATTATTTCATGGCGCATGGCTCATTGTGCTCCTAAACAATGAGCACTGATGATAATCTTGATTTGGGGATTACTTCAGATAAAAAGATACTAAGTCAAATTTTGTGTTTAAATAAGTTAAATAATATAAAAAATTTAAGAAGTTAAATGTAAAAATAAAATGTAAAATTGCAAAACTTGTCCTTTAGCTGATAATTCACAAATTGACTGCCATTCCAATGAATTTTTTTGTAAATGTTTTAATATTTATTTAATTCAATCTAATTGTTGCAATTTATGTTATATTTCGCAAGTTATTCATTGTTTTCTGATATTTTTCCTTTAAAACAAGCTTTCAGCTGCCTATAAATATTCTTTTACTTTAAGAAAAGTTGTTAGTAACTATAATTTTTTAAGTCGGAATTTAAATTATATTTCATTGTCTGATTGTCATTGTAAAGATGAAGATATTTCTCAATATTTTGATAAAGATTATGGTCAGGTTATTACAGGAAATTTAGAAATTGTTGGAGATCAAGATTTGATTAATATTATGAGTAAAGGTTCAAAATTCAGGACTAGGTGTAAAATGATGAATTTGTTTTATTGGTTAAAAAAGATCTTGATTTTTTTATGGCTAAAATTTCTAGAAAATATCTTTGGCCCGTTGAAAGTTTTACAGAATGGAAAACAAAAATAGTTGAAAGAGTTAAATATAATTAATATAATTCCAGGTTTTTTACTTATCCTAAGGGTACCATTATTGATTTTGAATTGTTTGAAACAATAAAAACTCTTAAAAATAAATTTATCATTACTGTTGTTGATAACGCATCTAATAAGTTTTGTACTATGCGTAAATATTTTTTTAAAAAATTAATTATTGGGGAATAAATGCTAATAATACTTATTTTAAATTAAAGGTAGATAAAAAAAGTTATTAAAAAAAGGATTATTGTATTTACTAAAAAATTTAAATTGAATAGAATTACTTTTCCATATTTATTTTCTATTATTAAATTTCATATGAATCCAGTAAAATTTAGATTCATTGCGTGTGGTACAAATTGTTATAATTGTAGTATTAGTAAAAAGTTTTTTAATTATCTTAAAATTATTTTACTTTTGATTAAAAAGGAGAAAAATTTTGTTATTGATAGTAACATTGATGTTTTGAATTTTATTAATGTTATTTCTGATATTAATGCTTTGACTTTGAAAATTTGTACACTAGTATGCCCCATGCACAGAGCCGGATTATACCTTTCGTAGGCCCTAAGCATAGCCGTTTTTGGGCCCTCTCCTCCTTCTCCCACTCCTCCCCTCTTTTCAAAATATATGCTAAAATTTTCTTGCATATTTTTTTTTACAATTTTATTAATATGGATTTTAATTTACAAATTTGTTTATCGAACTTTATCTGCAATACCAAAATACTGCCGATATTGCAGTTGATATCGTTACCTTAATGATTAGTTCGATCGATAACTATGTAAACACTTCTTGTCAACAATACAACAACAAACCAGCAAAGAAAACAGTAAAATTGATAGTGAGATTAATTACAAGAAATATTTATACTACAAATAGCTTCATAGTTTTCATGATACTACTATGATAACTAAGTGAAGGAAATTAACATTGTCAAAAGTAAATCTTTTGAAATTATTTATAAATAAATTTGCAAGGTAGTTTAAATGTGTACTAATAAAAAAAAATGATAATAATGATAACTTGAATAAAGTAGTAATTTTGCGTATTTTCGAATTAGACAGCCTAATACAAGATTTCGTTGAATCCAAAAATCGCAAAAAGTAATATATTAGATCATAAGATTCTGCAAAATAATTTATTACCGAAAAATATAATATTTTTATTTGTATCTTCATAATTTTGTGCAAAATACACTTGTTGTTTTTAAAGCTAAATTATTTTTGTCAACAAATTTTTTTCTCCCAAGTTTCTCGTAGGCCCCTGAATTTCGTAGGCCCTAATTTCGTAGGCTCTATAGGCACATGCCTAGTGTGCCTATAGGCTAATCCGGCCCTGCCCATGCACATATAATTGATATTTGTAGTAGCATGCGTGCTAAATATTTATTTAGTGAACATATTGATAAATCTTATTGGATGGATTTTGTAAGTTTAATCTCTTTGAAAATGTACTTTTTAGTGGCCTTAATTTTTATTCATTTTAATTTTTATAGGGATTCCTCAAGGTAATTCTTTTTCTGATGCTTTTGCTAATGATTTTTTAAATTTTTTTGAAGCTAAAATTAGCGAGTTTAGTGATTTTAAAGCTTTTAGATATATTGATGATTTAATTTTATTTAATTGTGATAATTTTGATTTATTTCTAATATTTATCCTGAGGAATCATCTTAAAGAAATCTAATGATAATTGCTTAAGTCTTTAGATTTTAAAATTGATATTGTTGATAAACAAATTAAAATTGGTGTTTATGATAAAAGAAAAGCTTTTAATTTTAAAGTAATTTTTTTCTGTAATTTTAATACTAATTTGTACAGTAAAATTTTCAAACATTTAGTTTTTTCTCAATTGTTTAGAATTAATAGAATTTGTAATAATGTTTTAAGTTTTCCAGAGGCAACTCGTTTTTTTAAAAAAATTCAGAAAATAATGGTTTTCCATTTAATTTTTGTAATATTGATTTTAAAATTAAGAACATGATTGAGAATTATTAGTTTTTTATTTGGTTTAACAAACTTCAAATCTTGTCTCCACGGTCAAGCTTTTCTTTCAATGACGTCACTACTTACTTAACTTCTGTCCTATTTTCTTTAAACTGCACAGGATAGGGGGCGTTTTTTTTATGTTTATTTTATTTTAGTTGTCTTGCAGTAGTCGATTGTGTTATTTAGCTATCGGATTTTTTTATTTCAAGTAAGCTTTCGTTCTTACTTTTCTTTTGTATTTGTTTTTATTTTATTGTATATGCTTCTGTATTTTAAATTTTATTTTATATTGTATTCTTCTGTGTTTTATTGTATTTTATGCATTCTATTCTTTTACTGGACTTTGGCAAAACCTTTGGAGTACAGAGAAAGCAATTTTATAATTTTGTCTTGCTTTCTCGATAGAAAAGGTTTTGCTTTTATGACATCTGAGGTTGGTACCCCCTGAAGACGTCAGTTTTGGTTGTCATATTTTCTGATTTTTTTTATTTTTTCATTGTCACATTTGTTTAATTCCTTTGGACTCACTGCTGCTAATCGCATTTTCCATAGGATGTATTATTTTTAATTGCTTTAATATTTGGAATTCTTTACTTAATAATTCATAATTACTGCATTTTTGCTCTATGTTTTTGGTTATTTTGTTACAGTAAAATATAGTACTGCCTTATCAAACGTTTAGCTAATCAAATTTTGCTAAAGTACATAATTTTGAATTGATCTCAATTTTTCATATATTTTTGTTTGTTTTCTTTTATTTTTTCATCTTTTTGTCAGTGTTTTCAAGGTTTTTAAGGGTTTTAAAAACTTTAAGCTCTTTATAAAAAACCTTAATAGTTTATAAATAAACTTTTTTTTTTGTTAACTTTTTTAAGGATTTCTTCTTGTTTGTGAAATATCTTTATTTTCTTATTTCTTTAAGGGTGAATCATGGTTTCCAATTGATCAAATTTATAATGTTTGTTACTTTGATTGTGCTAAATTAAGTTTTTCACTTTGAGTTTGGCAGAATTATCCCGTCAATATATTAACTGTTTTGAAATCATTGATACATTGTATGTAGGATTATTTTTAATAAAATGGTAGAATATAGAACAATTGATGCACTAAAAGTGTGAGTTTAGTTTATTATCCAAAACTGCAAATAAATTTTTTTAAAAAGTCAAAGAAGATTGCATTAATATGCTAAAAATTTTTTTAAGTGTATTAAATAATGTTGAAGGAATTATAGTGTTTGCAAATATGGATAATGAATTCTTTAAAAATGTTATTTAAAAAATTTAAATTTTTAAAAAAATTTCTAACAAGCTGAAATTGAATTCTACTTTATAAAAAGTTTTGGCTTATTTGGTACTGGTGTTCTACTCTTGAAAAATAATTATGTGGCTGATTGTTTTTATTATTAGTGATTGTATTTTTATTTATTTATTTTTTTCATTTTAGAAACTTAATAGAAAACTGCATCTCTCAAAAGTAAAACATAGCAAGTTTAATGAAAGTGGCCAATTATTTGTTTTTTATCTCATATCTTTGATATGGGGAGGAGATATAATAATAAGAGTAAGTTTACTTTTATCTATAATTAAGCTATACATTTTCTTAATACTAATCTTTTTCTATCTTGCTGTTTATAGTTTATAACAAAAAGTTAGTATTGCGGGTACATTATGAGAAGTATTTTTTTAAAATTATATCATAAAAATCATTGTTCTAATAAAATGTATTTATCTCTGAAAAAAAACTTATTTGTTTTAAAAAATTAAATTTTTTTATTTTTTTATTTATTGATTGATGTTGGCAAATTTATTTTTGAATTGTTTTGATTATGCAGAAATCAACATTTTATGATATCTAGTTTAACAATTTTTCAGAAATTGATAATTGTCTGAAAAAGAAAAAAAAGTTCTTACCACCAGGACAGAACTTATTTACTGAAAGAGTTTTTTTCTCCTTTTTTTTGACTGTGATATTAATAAAATCTATTGTAAATAAGTATATATACAATACAGGGCAAGTATCTGCATGGACCCTATGTTTCAGTTTTCTTGTTAGTTTCATCAGTATAATTACTAAAAATGGTGTTTTTTAAGCTAGATAGATTAGTATAAAATTACAGAAAAAAAAATTACTGAAGACTTTTGTTATTAAACTAACTCATTTAACTTATTTTTTTTCTTAGTTTATTTGTTTTTCTTTCAGCATTGGCAAAATATAGTAAAAAAATAAAAAATCTTTTGAAAATCTTGTTTTTTTTTNTTTTTTTTTTTTTTTTTTTTTTTTTTTTTTTTTTTTTTTTTTTGGTTTGTTATTAGTATTCAATTAGAGCTACACTATTGGGCTAATTAATAGTGTAAGTCTAAGATTTATCCTTGCATGATGATCCAATAGACAATATTGATACAAGCGTGTTCAATTCTACCACAATTTAGATCTTAAGGAAGGTGGTAGTAATCACCTGTCCTCCATATATCTCTTCAACTGAACCGGATTCTGAACATCTTAGACTTATTTGGAAAAAAGTGTTGCCTGATTATATACACACCCAATAAGCAAAGACTAAACCGTCACTCCTAAACATACCTAAGTAGCTGAATCAAAAATATTTGATATGAAAATCGAAGGGAACAATTTCTTTTATTTTGATGTGTGATATTAATTTTCGATGAACATATGATCTTAATTTTTTATTTAAGGCATTTGTTTTATAACCTGTTATCACATTCACTGCCAGTCTAGTACAGGTCGTTACTATATCAACCATTGAATAGTAGTGTTCTATGAAGATAAAATCAAATTTACATGTTCTAATTTAAGCAACTACATATTTTAATTTTTGCAATAAGTTTATTTTAATAAACAATATGTTACGAGAAAATGTCATATTTTTTGAAGGATAATATGTTTCTGTGGTCTTAATCTATGCTATTTATACAAATTGTAAGGAAGAATCTCATCCCTCGCCATCCGGTGATTAGGAAGGAAAGTGTTAACTAATTTTCTACTTGAACAAATTTTTACTGTAATTAACCTGCTAAGCACAGCATGTTAATTGAATAACAAGTAGGGAAACCAGTTTTCTCTGCACTAAAGTAAATTGTACCCTGAACTGAGTTGGAGGGTGGACAATGTTAAGTTAGTGGAATAGAAACTAATTACGAGGAAACAGCTTTTTTTTTTTAATTATTGCAAGTATTGTATATCTTTCAAAACTTAGTCATAAAATGTTGATGAAAATTTGTTCTGTTATATATAGTAACATGCTTTTTCAAAAGTGCACGATTCTGGTTCTTTCAAGGCTAAATTAATGCTGCAACTTCAAAAATTAAATTTTACAATAAGATGTTTAAGTAATTAGATTTTTTCTATCCAAAAGATATGCTTTGAAGAAGACTTAATCTTAATTTGTAATAGTACTCAATATTTCTTGAAATCATCTGTTTCTGTTTTTTTTTTTATTATTTTATTTTGCCCAAAGATTCCACATGTTAAACTGATACTTTACACTTGAAAGTATAATATTTATATTTTTTAATTTAATATTTTATACATTAATTTTAAGACTTTCCCCCTCATTCTAAAAATTACTCTTTTAACAATGTGTTGTTTTTCATGTAATATTTACTTAAATATGTCAAATTTTTAGGAAGGTTACTTAACAAATATCAGCAAATTGTGGCAAGATTATCCTGAAGCGCACAGTCAAATGACGTAAGTTATCATAATGTCTCTTTTTTTCAACATAATTTGTTGTGTACCATATTTTATTCATTAGTTTGTTATACTGCATGGTTAATACTTTGTAAAGTTTGTTAAAATGTCAACAGCATAGGGATTTTTAGTTACACTACTCTTCCTTAATTTGTCACAACCGAAGATATAAGTGATTTTATTGTGTATTTTATAGTTAGCTTTTTAACAATAATATAATATAATTTTATGCTGCTTTATGGCTGTAATAAAAAACAAGTTAACAATATTAATCATCATCAATAAACTCAACATAATAATCTTTATTCAATATAATTTTCTTTTTAAATTGCAAACATAAGTATACTTTGATTCAAGTACTAATATTTGATTACTATAAACAATAAATAAATTTAAAAAAATTTAATTATTACCCTGAAGAAAAAAACTCTCTGCATTTACATCTTAACTGCATTTTGATTTGTAATAGAGTGTTGAAGTTTTTCTTAAGTAAATTTGATGATTATATTAAGAATAATTTTAAATTGCTAAGTTACCTTTGCCACATCTTCTATAAAGATACAATAGGAGAGTAATTGATAATTATACTGTTTTTCTGTAATAATTTGTTTTAAGGATACAAAATTGAATTCTTAAACTGTTTACAGTACAACCTGTTCACTTTCCTGCTTAAAATAACAGTTTTATTGTATGTAATTTTTGAGCTTATATGTTTTGCATGGTGCAAATTTACACAACAGTCAAGGATTGATTTGTGTTGCTGCTACTAATCTATTAAATATTTTCTTTTTAGATTTATGTTCAAGTTTTATTTTATAATACAACTCTCTTACTGGCTTCATTGTTATCCTGAATTATATTTCCAGAAAATTAAAAAGGTATGTTTAATTTTTACCATTTTATTTAAACAGCTTTTTAAAATTATCATGTGTCATAGATATTAGACCCACTTAATGTTTTATTTCCAATAAAATATTAACCTGTTTTTAATTGTATTGTGTTTAAATACTGTAAAATAACTTAGTGAATAAATGCTTGAATATGTCTAAAACCATGCATTAATGCTGTAAACTAATATATATGTGTGTATATATATCTACACACACTTTGAAACCGTCAAACAAGGTACCCTTGCGGGTCTGTGGCTATGTGACCTGTGTTAAGATGTGGCTGGTATTTGGAGTTATAAACAAATTGGTGTTGAAAAAAATTACAAATAGCATACATGTAATGCCATCTTGTTTGTAGTTTTGTAAAAAANAAATATTAACCTGTTTTTAGTTGTATTGTGTTTACTGTAAAATAACTTTGTGAATAAATGCTTGAATATGTCTAAAACCATGCATAAATGCTATAAACTAATATATATCTATGTGTATATATATGCATTATGTGTATATATCTGTCATAGATATTAAACCAACTTAATATGTTTTATTTCCAATAAAATATTAACCTGTTTTTAGTTGTATTGTGTTTACTGTAAAATAACTTTGTGAATAAATGCTTGAATATGTCTAAAACCATGCATAAATGCTATAAACTAATATATATCTATGTGTATATATATGCATTATGTGTATATATCTGTCATAGATATTAAACCAACTTAATATGTTTTATTTCCAATAAAATATTAACCTGTTTTTAGTTGTATTGTGTTTACTGTAAAATAACTTTGTGAATAAATGCTTGAATATGTCTAAAACCATGCATAAATGCTATAAACTAATATATATCTATGTGTATATATATGCATTATGTGTATATATCTGTCATAGATATTAAACCAACTTAATATGTTTTATTTCCAATAAAATATTAACCTGTTTTTAGTTGTATTGTGTTTACTGTAAAATAACTTTGTGAATAAATGCTTGAATATGTCTAAAACCATGCATAAATGCTATAAACTAATATATATCTATGTGTATATATATACACACACACACACTTTGAAACTGTCTAACAAGGTTCCCTTTTGGGTCTGTGGCTATGTGACCTGTGTTAAGAGGTGGCTGCTATTTGGAGTTATAAGCAAATTGGTGTTGAAAAAAATTACAAACAGCAAACATGTAATGTCATCTTGTTTGTAGTTTTGTAAAAAAGTGCATAGCTACAAACAACATGGTGTAAAGTGAGTTAACTTACCTGGTATTACACATAAAGGTACAATGCTCAAAATTAAAAACTGACCACTCTGAATGACTTTTGATCTAATAATCTGATATTCACATTCTAGGACTCAATTTTAATGGCTCGGGGGGATTACTTGAAATATGTTGAATAATAGGTGCTGACATTTTTTTAAATTGCGAAATCAGACACATAAACATATTTTCTCTGAATAAACATACCTTTTTTCGACAGTTTTTAAAAAAAAATTATAATTTTGTCAACCACCCTTGAAGATGCAGTTTGTCTGTAGTTGGAACATTTGAACTGAACTGCCTAATTTATGATAGATTATCGAAAAGATGCTTCAAAATGTCTTGAATGCAATAAACGCTGAGGGAAACGTGATTAGTAGAAATATGCTTCCAGAAATTGCTGTATATGTCTTATGAAAAATGTTCGGCACAATAAACACTTGGTTGTTTTTTGGAGGTTGCTGTTTAGAAGCAGTTGTTAACAGATATTTTTATTACGTGTATATATATATGTACACAAATCGATAAATCAGTGTTTTACTTTAATTTTTGATGATATGATCTAGATTATGCATAAATTGTAAAAAGTTATGAAGCAAAATCGCTCATACCATTGATATGATAAAAATAAAACAATTAATTGTTTACTTTTTACTTGACACTAATCATGTATAAAAAAAAAATTGTTCGCTCATAATGAATAAAAAAAAATTTAAGAATAGTCAAACAGTTTTATGATGAACATTATAAAAAGAAAAAGCATGCATTGGTTTTAATATCCGATAATGGTAACTCATAGTGATTTTCATAGTGATGTATGTTGCAGTTATATCTAAGATCTGTATACTATTTATAGGATGAAATGAAGCCTAGAATAATCTACACTACTCTTTACTTGGTCTTTTTAACTGCCGCCTATTGTCTAAAGTGAGTATATTTTGATTTGCACCATAGGACTAAAAATATTTTTTTTGAGAGTAATTTCCCTTAATTTTAATGTTGGACGAATGAAATTTGAAACTGAGAAGTAAACTGTAAGATTATGATTATATTTGTAAATTGCTAGCATTCTAACATATTAATTATGCATTGTAAAATGTTCCAAAATGATTGAATATTTTAACAAAAATAATTATTTCCCACTATTTTTAACTTTTTCACATTTAAGGTTAATTAGACCAAGTTTTTTTTTAGCATAATAAATAAGATAATATTGAATTTAAGTTTGTATGCTTTTTTTTCTCCCACTTTTATGTTTTTTTCCCTCCCAAAATTCATATGACAGTTAACATCTGAATTAGTTGCGTAAAAAAAAAAAGATGAATCCAAGGCATTCTAGAAGATTCATTCGAATGCTTATGGAGTTAACTACGGAGTTATTTTACTCTAAGTTGCAACACATCTGTGATTATTGGCAGTATTAGAGCAATATTGTAATTAATTTTATTGAAGGGTCAATATCAACCTCTCTTAATCCTTTACCTTTCTTTCAACATGTGCGAATTCAGTTCACTTGATATTATTTCTGAGTGTAAAATTTAAATAATCATTTTCTGATGTAAATCACAATTTACACTAATAATATCATATCTATAGTGTTTTGGTTGTATTTTCGAAATTATTGTTATTTATTTTCAGATGGTTTTTAAAATCTGATATTTTTAATACAATGTTTATTACCACAACCGAATCTCGAAATAAAACGCGCTTGAGTATAACTCCTTTTTAAAGAAACTGATTTGCATGATTTCCTAGTTTTTTTTTTTTTTTTTTTTAATATTTTTTTCTGGTGGTTACTGCAAGGAATTTCACTATTTTTAATTAGTTTTTTTTTTTATTTTTAAATGTGATCATGATGTACAAAATGCGAAAAAGAGACCCCTTCAGAGAATATTGCCCATAATATTGACTAAAATTTATTGCATGTTCTATTAAAATATATATATACAATTTATTTTATCTAAATAAAATTTTTATTTTTTTGTTAACACAGTGCTTTTGTCACTTTAAATTAGTAAGAAGTATATTTGTTATTATTAAATGTATCTTGTAGAGAGATATCAGTGTTAGAGATGTTTGTTGCAGAAAGCCTGAAAAAGTTCTGTGATAGGGGTCATATTAAAATGAATTGTCTTTATGCTCAAACTGTTATTTATTGTTGTAGAAGACTTACTTTGTATATTTTTTTTGTAGCTTCACAAGAATTGCTATTTGTTTATCTGTTCTACACTATTTAGTAGAATGTGTCTTCCATATTGCTCGACTTCTGTATTTTGCAGAAAAAGCCAAAGCTGCCAGCTATGGGTATGGAAATATTTAAATTGTTATTAAATCTTTGAGTATTATATTTATATTCCCTACATGTGGATTACTTACTGTGCAAATTATAAGTAAATAAATTAAGTGGAAGTAAAATAAAATTATAGTAAATAAAGATTTCCTAAACCTTTAATTGATGGCTATTTCGGATTGTAACGAAATTTTTTCACAAAAAAAGTTCTTAATAATGTTGAGAAAAAATATGGAGCAGTACCTTTAGTGCTGGTAGCAGCAGTAGCATTATCGAATCTATGATTTTTCTGCCAATGCTTTAATAGTTTTAAAGGACTTCTGCCTGAAAACTAGGTAAAATAAAGGTGAAAGTCTGAAGGTTTTGTAGTATCTTGATGGAACAGTACTGTCTTGCGTAGGAACTCAGTTGAGTGTTTTACCTTGATAACAGTATCAAGACAGACTAGCATCACGCTGTACACTTTACTGTATGTTGTTTTTACCTTTTCCGAGATACTCTTAGTGGATAATAATGCATCGGCCCCTTCAGATACAAAACATGATATTTTTGTTTAGCAAATTATACTTTGAGAGGCTACTGATGGGCTCACCGGAAGTAGCCCAACCTTCGTTTTGGCTTGTGTTGAAGTATATTAAATTTTGTCTTGTGTTGAAGAATGTAGTTTTTGCGTTGAGTTTTGGGCAGATTAGTGCAGGCCAGAACTCAACTGTCCTTGTATGTTCAGCTGATTTGGCACTCAGTGATTCAATTTGTATTTAGAGTTATGTGATGCATAGAGTGACTAATGAACATGGCACATACATCTAACTTCTTAGGCTAGCTCTCAGTTGGTTGAATACTGATTTTCTTTCACAAGTTCTTGCTCATGAGCCTCGTCAACATCAGTATACCGACCAAATGGCTTAGCTACTTGAATGTCATAGTTCTTGTTTTTAAACTTTCTGTACCAAACCTCTGCAGTGTTGTGATACAAAAGTACCTAAAGCTGTACACATGATTCAGCGATATTCCATAGCTGAATTTTTGCAATAAAACTGGAAGTAAATGATGGTTCTAATCTGGTAGAATGATAGTTAAATTTCAGATACGTTGTACTTAATGATAATGATATTTTTTTTTGCATACATCACAACTGAGTGTTCTAATGCAATCCCTTTTCTTTCAAATTCGAAAAATCGTCCAACAAAATATGAGCAACCATGTTTTAGCAGACGATATTAGCGGTGGAAAGGAACTTTCGTTACAACCTGATATTTTTCATTTATAGTGTACTGTCTCAAGAAAGTTTTCTGTGTTATATATCTTCGTAATACTTTTATATTATGTAGGTGCGCTTTTTAAACTCAGATCTCTGTTATATATTTTGCATTTTACAGTTTGATAACTGTTCAAAAAATTTAGGAAGATGTTTTAAGTATATAACATGCATTGCAAATTTTGAGGATATCCACAAAATATCTGAAAAGAACCCAGTTTTTTTCTGCGTTTCTTTAAAAAAAATGATATTAGAGATTTTTTACTTAGCTGTATTAAACTTATGAAAATTTTGCTTTAAGTGACTTAAGCGCTTTTGAAAATTTTTACATGTGATTGATGTTGTCCAGAAAGATCTTCAATTATTGGCCTCAAAGATTTTTTTCTTCTGATATTATGATTAAAATTAAATTTACACTTGCAGATAGTAGTATAAATTCATGTTTAAAGGCCTAAGAGAATTTTTATTTGAAAATTTGCAGCTATTTAGAAAACTACCTTCAGTTTGAATTATTTGCATAATTGGTAGAAAAAATAAAGCTGTCTATTTTTATTAAAAACTTGAAAACAAAATTATATATTTTTTAAATAAAAGAATATCATTTATGAATTGATAATAATTTTTTTTAATAATTTCTTATCTTAATGTTATCTTCATTTTATTTTGAGTTGCTTTAAAAATATAAACATTTCAACAGCTGTTTTTATATTGCAACAATTTAATTTGAGCAAGCTAACATGTTTTCCTTTTAGGCAATTTAAAAAGCAGCCAAAAGTTTTGTGACCCTGTAAACTCAACAAAGACTTGAAATACTGATCATTGTGTCAATTAATGCTTTTTTTCTTCCCCTATTAGGTTTACCATATGGAATGCTTTGTTTGTGCTTGTGAGATTGGGCTCTATTACCCTCTCAGTCCTGACTTTCTGGTATGGCTTAGCTCAACAGGGTTCCACGAGCATCATTGATCCTGCCTCTGGCAACTTCAATACACAAGTGATTCGCATCAATTGCCTCTTTGCAATCTGCCTTCTCCAAGCATGGATGATGTGGAATTTTATTAATTTCCATTTGAAGCGTATGCGAGAAAGAGCTGCCCAGATTGCATCTAGCAAGAAGAAGGCTCTAGCCAAGAAGGAAAAGAAGCTTAAAAAGGATGAATGTAAGTAATGATTATAGGACTTTATATTAACATTTTCGTTAGAAAAATTTAGCTTTGCTGATTTTCTTAATATAATATTAATGATGATATGAAGAAATGCTATTATCTACCACAAATATCTTTAACAGATTAGCCACTTTTACCTTTGTTATTTTGTGAGCTTAACACTATGATTGTGATTTGTGGTTTAGATAACTTAGTTTAAATTTAATTTAATTCTTAAATTCTGTTTTGCTGCATTTTTCTCCATTAAGGTTTCATGAACCAAAGAAACGAAGAAAAAAACAAACAAATTTTGGTTAGCTGAAAATCTTCATTTCACTAAGCAGCTATTTATTACAAGTGTACAATTTTACAATAAAAAGTTTAGTTTTTTAAATACTGTTAACTGACTACATACCTTTAACATGACTACAGAAGGGTACCTTAAATAAATCTAAACAATTTGCTTATTTAACAAATATTTTATAAAATGACCTATTGCAAGTTACTAATTTTTATTTTGCTTACTAATACTAATTTTATTTTACTTACTAATTTTAACACATAACTAACTTTTTAACCAACTAACTTTTATTATCACTTCGTATCAGATTCTTATTGTATCACAGATTATGTTTGTGGAAGGGGAGGAAAAAGACACTATCAGAAATGTAATGTTTTTTATTATTATTACTTTGAAAGTTGTTAGTATTGCATACCTGCCAACTTGTTCAGATTTATTGAAACATTTTTATTTGAATAGAGTGGTAGTAAACTTCATGATTTTACATTTTGTTATTGATTTAATGAATTCAATTTAGAATGATTTTCTCCACCACTACATACCACTTATATAAATAGAACATTTTGATTGAGCAGAGAAGTTTTCAAATGCGGGCAGAATCAGACAATTGATGATTACCTTAAAATATTTGGCTACTGCTGTAAATATTCTGGGAAGTGAGGATTTCTGGGTTTGTAGCTATGGTATTGTGGGAAGTAATTAATTCAGATAATTAAAAATAGCTGAAGAATAATTTTGTTACATTGCCCCTCTAAATTTAAATTTTGTCTCTCAGTTGCCCGTATTAAAAAAGTGAGTACTATGACTAGATTAGTAAAAGTATTGCTTAAAGATTCAAGTGTGTTTCAGAAAGATTAAAATTTTGTTAATAGCATATTGAGTTTCGACAAGAGCTGTGCTTTAGATTTATAAGTCATGGTTAAAATTGACAATGTATTTTTATTTAATTCACATATTGTAATTTTTAACAAACAGCTAAAATNAAAATGAAAAAAAAAAAAAAAAAAAAAAAATTGCATTATGTAGTTGTAGACATCTGTAAAGCTTTTGAATTATATTACAGCATCATTTAAAAAAAAATAATAATAAAATCTTGCATTTAACAAAATTTACAAGTTTTAAGCCCAAATGTAAATTTTGACTAATTAGATCTTTTAAATATTAAATTTAAATTTATTTATTTTTGAGTTAATTATATAATTATGATTAACAAAATATTGATAAGAAATATTAAGATAAGATCTGTACCTATTTTTAGACATAAATATAATTTTCTACTTGTTCAATTTATACAAAAAAAATTTGTCATATTTGCAGAAAAATGAACAGCACAGAAAAGTCATACACATTGCATTGCAAAAAAACTTCTTTATTATGCAGAACTATGAAAGAAAAGGAAATGATAAATCAAGCAAAAAAATGAAGAATATTGTGAATTGGCAAAGCATGTGAAAAAATTAAAGCAACAAAAATTTAAAAGTTTGAATCATCAAAAACTACTACAAAATCTTCTGTCGAAAGTGAAGCTACTGGTTAAGATACCTATGAAAATATAGAAAATGTGATAAGAATTAAGTTATTTAAGTATATGATATGCATATGAGAAAAAAAATGTTAAAATGCATGTTTGTATTAAAAATCTTTAATTTACTATTCAAATGCAAATTATTTCTTCTATAAAAACAAATTTGTTAAGGATGCTATATTGAAGGGAGAAAATATATCCTATCCATATGTACACATAAGGTTTTGTGAATGTGCTTCTTAACACTAGTAGCAAATTCAAATCGTGGTATCATTATATTGTTTGAATTATTAAAGGGACAATTTGGGTAGAATTGCAGTTATTATTTTCTTTTGATCAGACAAGATTTATATAAGATTTTTTTTCTTTTTTTTTTAAATTTACAAATTATAAGTATTGTTATAAGTTAAAGAAATTAAACTGTACGAAAAGCATCCCAGATGATACAAATCTAAGCAACTTCATTTGAAAGGTCAACATCATTCTTTCCCAAAACCGTTCTTCCATTTTACGATAATGTGTATGTTTGACCAATTCAGCCTGATATATTTTGAGAAAACCAAGGGGGGTAAAAAAAAAATTTAAAAAAAAGTCTGTACTTGTTAATATAACTGTACTTGAATGAACTAATATAATAGTTGTATATTAATATCCTAATGGAAAGGTTTTAATTATAAATATTTGCTTTAATGTGTTTTTCAATTGTTCACATCTAAAAGAGAAAAAAATTTGCTTATTTTTCTTTTGAATAAATCTCTTAATTATGTTGTAGTAATTGTTACAAAATACAAATATTACACCAATAATAGATGTAATTAACCATCTATAGTTTTGTATTAACCCTAGATATACTAAGATCACTGTTACCCTGTAATACTAATTGATTTAATCATAGCCTATGAATTAAACATTTTTATTTAGTTAGTATTAAAATGTTTTAGATAACCATTTTTTGTTTGTAAAATTTCTTTGGGGTGCATTATTTATAAGTTTTGATTTGTGTTTTTCCATGGTCAGGCTAAGTTTATAATATGTGGTTTTACTATTTTTAGGATTCTTAAAAAAATGCACACACAAAGTGTTCACATTTAAATCTACATAATAAGTAAAAACCTTGCTAATATAATCTATACAATTTCATAAAGCTGCAATATTATGAGAGAGGGAGGGGAAGCTAAAAAAGTAAAAATTGTTCACAACTTGCTTGAAAAAAAATGAGAGTAAAAAATTGTTCTTAAAGGCTATTCTAAAAAGATGTCTATTTGTTACTTTATTATTTTTTAAGTCTTATTAATTATTTTTACATAAACTTAAAATTAAACTTTTTATTAATGAAAGCATATTAATAATGCATATGTCTTTTTTAATGAATTTTTTGGTAATCAAATTTAATTGTTAGATTGATTAGATTTTTTAGATATTCATTGTTGAATGATGTATACAAATGCACAGGTTTTCTATTTAAATTATAGTTTTTATGACCATTAGTACTTCATAATTAGTTATTTAATTGTACTTAGTAATAAAAAAAAAAGTGGTTTGATCGGTGATTGCTTAAACCAATAAAATCTTAACATTAGTAGGGTTTTATAATACCTGTGAAAAAAAAGTTATTGCCTTAAAACTTTATTGAATACTTCCTTGAATAATAATTTTGATGATGGACAATTGTATGAATATGATGTATTTTAAATATAATTATTGCTATGGTGCATAAGAAATAATAAAAAATAAACCAATTTAACCTCTTTCATATTAAATATTTATTATCAAAATCTCTGCTTTACAATTTTAGTAGAAGTTCATCTCTTTTCATTAGAATGTAAATTCAACTCTTTTTATTACTTGATTAATAAATATTTCTTAAATTGTTTCTTAGTGATAATCTGTTATCTAATTACAAAAATTGTTAAAGAAAGACACATTTACATTAAATGTATTTGTTAACGATAGAAAAGAAATATTGATGACTATTTACGAGCAAAAATGAAATGGGATATGAGTAATAATAATTTCTGCTTCTTAGAGTAAGACAACCTGGTAGTAAGATCATTTTTTCTTTAATGCTGAACGTTATTAACATAGTTACACTACATCCAAATCAGAAACTTCCGTAATGTCGTAACTTGACTTTATTTCTGTTTGACTTTTACTTTGAAGTTAGTATAATTCTACTTTTTAATATTGCCATCTACATTCTTTTTCTTCAGTTCTAATATTACTCTATATTCTAATATTCTCCTGCACTAATATTAGTAAAAATGCAGCAAATTAAAAGTTCCTTGTAATATATTACAAGCCTTTGTAAAAAATATGAAAGTATTTTTTTTACTTTGCAATTGTACTAAATTTGATTATTAAGGAGCTGGTACGAAATTTTCACTAACAATTTAAGCACCATAATTATACACAAAAAAGTACTTTTTCCCCCATTACATCTGTTCTAATGCACACACAACAGTTTTCACTTAAGACTTTCTAAGTACTTGCTTACAAAAATTTTACCATAGCAATAATATTTCCACTGGAAAGCTCAATAATAGATGTTTGTAGTTTTGGTTTCTAATGGTGAGCATACAATTATAGAGTATCAGTTTTGGTGATGGTGAGTGTATGTTTAACAAACAGTTGTTATATAATTAACAAACAATTGTTGGATTAAGTAATTCAAACTAAACAATATTCCATCCTTGGGAAATTTAATGTATTGTAGATCTATAAAATTATTCACAGTTCAAATATTTAATTATGAAAATTTATGTAGAGACCACATTTACTTAGGCATTTCGAGGACTATTAAGACAATAATTTTTAATAGCTGTAATCTTTAACCCCTGAGAGCTAGTTTCAGGTTTTTCTGAACTTTGATTTGTAAGCATTTCTGCATCAATGGTATCATATAATTTCATTGGTTTCTATAAGTTTTAAGAGCATTATTACTTCTGAATTAATGTATTTTTAAGAAAAGTTGTATGATGATATTTATTCATGTATTTTGTTTGAGATCATACTAAATTGTTTTCTAAAGAAAAGCTACTTGAAGTGAAATAATCATTTTAGTCTGTGCTGCTAAATTTTATCAGATTGGCAATTTCTCCTTCATGTTCTAAAGTTTTACTTCTTTTTAGAAAAGTGTGGGGCAGTTGAAAATGGTTACTTACTTAGTCTGTATTGTTCAATTTTGTCAAATATGCATTTTGGCCTTCATGTACTTAAATTTCCCTTTTTTTAAAAAAAGAAAGTGTGGGATAGGGGAAAATGGTTACTATCTTTGGCATAACCTTTTTATAAGTTGTTCTTTTTATCATTAATATTTGAAAGGCTTGGGTAATATATTTGATATGCAAAAAATTTTCTGAAGGTGGCATTTTACATCTAATTGTTCCTTGGTATTGATTACTATTAGGTCCTTTTATAAGTTTAAAGAATATTCCTGAAAAGCAGTTGCCAAATGGTGGTTTATGAAAAAATTGTTAACACACCAGGATTTTTGCTTGTGTAGCATCATTTGACTTTTCGTTCTAATTCTAGATTGTCTCCTTAAATAAAAGAATTTATTGAAAATATACAATGTGTTCGGTTTAGAACTTCCTTCAGGAATAATTTTTCATTTAAAAAATTGCCAAAACCTGTGTTAATTTTGTTTTTTCACAAATTGAGTACTAATATCTACCAATAATTTGTTTTTCTATTGCTGTAATAGTGTTCATTTTAATATTGAATGAATATTGTAAACTCATTCTTTTTTGTTTAGTGAAGAAGGCATCAGAAGATGATGTGAATGAGTTGCCTGAAGTGGATCAAAATGCTAAGAAGGATTTGAGACAAAGGGCTACAGTTGCTGCTAGTCCTAAATCTAAAAGGCACTAATGAATATACTTACAAAATTTCATCTGTACTATTGTGGGGGGACTTTTTTTATTTTAAACAACTTTCTGTTACAGAAAGAATTTTGTATGTTATGTTTCTTTTCAGAGTTTACAATAAAGTTATTTTTTTTCTAATATTCTTTCAATATATTTTCCAGCTTGTTGTGGCTAATTACTCCAAATCAAATCTTTATTGCAGGTAAACTTCGCACAAAATTCTTCTAAAGTAAATTCTAATTGTGCTTTATTGCATCGTAGCTGTGTTTTAAACATGCACTGAAAGTACACTTTCAGAACATTTTGCATACCCTGAACTGAGTGGTTTGCATGCATGGTAACAGTGATGTCTTCCAAAATGAGCACCCCTCCTCCGAAAAGTGCATGAAGCAACCAAATACATTTTTGTAGCGAAAAATCAAAATTTGTAATTTTGCCGACTTTATTATTTCTGTATTCAAAGAAAGAAGAAATTATATTGCTTTTTATAATTTTAGTATCAGCAACAGTAATCATTTATTGAGATTAGAGTGAAATAATTCTAACATCCGTTAAAATTATTTTATAAAATGCCGCTTTTTAGTGAATCTTTTCAGTGTTTTTATTCTCATTATGCTTTTGCTCACAAAAATATAATATTTGACAATACAAATAAAAAATAAAAAAAAATCTTAAGTTTACTGATTAAAAATTGCATGGTATAGATAAAATATGGTATGGATTTTCATTGAATTTTACCTAATGTTCCTGTAATAATCAGAAAATTTTTGAGTGATAACACTAACTTGTGTAATATTCTTAAAAATATATGTTTTTGTTTCGAGTCTGATAAAATATACTTGCTACTTTTAATTTTGTGTTCCCTTAATGTGTCTGTGTGACCCCAGGTAGAAAAGGTACAACTCTCAAGACTTGTTGTATCGCATTAAATTATTGACAGTTATGAATGTTTAGAAGTTAATGTGATGCATGTAAGTTGCTAATAATTAAAGTTGTCTTCCTCTGTTTTCAAAAGTAGCCATAGTAATCTTGTTAATTATTATTAATAATAATCTATAGCCTTATTACTTATAGGCATGTTAATTTGGAAAAAATATTATTGTTCTCTTCCTAGAGTTGGCTTTTTGCCCAGAATTTCTTAAAGAGATGATTAAAGAATAGGTATATAAAAAATAAATTTTGAAAAGTCGTGAGCTTCGATTGTGAATGTTCTCATTCTATCATTCATTTAATTTCTCTAAGTAAAATGTATAGTACAATATAATTCCTTCTGTTGTGTTCTTATTCTCAACATTCTACCGACTAACTGAATAGAACTTTTTGCTAATTAAATTTTTCGAAAAATTTTGAAAAGATACTGTTTGGTAAATTTTTCAAGTGAATAATTAAATAATTCTTGGGTGTTCAAAGTAAATAGTATATTTCTCATAGCTTATTATTTTTAAACAGAGTTAAAAAAGGGAAATGTTTTTATTTTTAGAAAAGCATCCTACAATTTTTTTTATTTCTTATTGTTAATAGTGACAATATTCGACTCTAAATTATAAGCCGATACTCACTGTAGATTTTTCAGAATAGCATCCTAGGCAATAAAATAAATTATTCATACATAAAAGAATAGGACATGTGAGCTGTTCATATCCATAATAAGTTAAATAAATTTTTGAAAAGGAGCTTGTTAATGCAAG